ATTGTTGTTTGGCGGGTCCGGGCTGGGGATTCGAACCCGCCACCTTAGGTGTACGTGGCTGGCGCCTTAGCCGGTTGAGGTATAGGCGCCGAGCCTGGGGTATGTGTTTTGATAGTTAACTATTGGGAATTAAAATTGAGAATTTATTTTAGTTCATTATTTTAATATAATTCACATTAACATTAATAATACATCTTCTAAATGAAAAATAATCATATTTTCCAAAACAAAAATCTTCTAGCAAGCAGAGTGGCACATCTCTTTAGTGCTTGGCTTACTAAAAAACTGGATTCTCACATATCTATGTATGCTTTCAATCTGTTGCAGTATGTACCATGAAGTCTCTAGAAAACTCTACCGTACACTTATGAGAGAAAGAATGTGAAAACAACTTTAGTATGATTATGAAATTGTTTTGCTTTTGGAGACCCCCAGAAGTCTGTGGATACTTTGGAAGGAGCTGCTGTACAGTATGAAACAAATAGTGCTTTCAAACTTTTCAATGTCTTGATGGCTGCATTAGGAAAAGAGTTATCTTCGATTTGCAAGAACGTCAGGTTTTGATTTGTAGACTGGGTTTGGCACAATGCCAGCGACATTTCTCTTGAGGAGAAAGGGAGGGCGACAGGCGCCTCCAGTTGGCCAAACCCTAAAGTTTGAGCGCTTCCCGGGTCACCCACGCGCGCTCGACCTTGGACTACAACTCCCAGCAGAGCTGGCGGCAGGGGCGTGTCCGCAGCCGCGAGGGAGCGTGGGAGACGCAAACTGAGTGACGGAAGCAAGAGGGAACTTGCCTGGTTTTGGTAGGCACGGTATCGCAATTGGAGGAGCCGGGAAGGAGGGGCGGAGCCTGTGTTTGGGTCAGCCAATGGTTGGAGTCAGGCGGAAGGCGGGGAGGGGGCGTGTCAGGGCTGACTCTCGGGCTGCGTGGGGCTCTAGGGAGCTGTGGGACTCGGGCCTAGGGGCTAAGAGCTAGCGGTCCTGCGGCCTCGGCGGCCGGGTGCAGGAAGATGGCGGCACGATGGAGCAGCGAGAACGTGGTGGTGGAGTTTCGGGACTCCCAGGTAGGCTTGAGGGGCTGAAAGGAGCCGTCTGGGCATGCGCCCTCCCCTCTTCCCTTCCCCGCGCTGCTGATTCTGTTGGGAAGGCTACGGGGAGACCCCCTCCACCCACCACCACCAGCCGGGGCTAGGCAGGGGGGCAAGGGGGTGACTCAGAGTTCTCAGACCTGGGCTGGCGAGGGGAACCTTCGTGACTGTTGAAGGCAGACGGGTTGGGGCACGGACGGGGACTTTGGGGTTCCCCATGGGAGTACTAGAAGTGTGGTCGGCCTTGGGACACTGATGCCTAGACAGTGCATCAGTGAGTGTTGAGGGGAGGCTTCCCCCGACCAGGGTGGTGAGTGAGGAGGTGTCCGCTTCTTGAGGCAGGGGGGTGTGCTGGGTGACTTCGGGCAAGTGGCAGAATTTCTCTGAGCCTCAGCAGCGTGGAGTGGACTTAACCTTGCCTCTCAGGATTTGGGGGGTGGGTTCGATAAACCACTGCTTGCAAAGCGCCTAAGCAGTTAAGTGGTTCCTGATGCTATAGTAATGGGAAATACTGTGTAGTGGGTAGGAGTGTACACTGCATGTGCTGCTCCTGTTTGAATCTTGTCTCAGCCCTTACACTGTCAACACTCACCACGTGTGTTTTCCTGCCTGTAGAAGGGAGATCTTTGTATCTACCTCACAGGATTGGTGTGAGAGTTTTATGTGGTCATATGTTGATAATGTGTGGCACAGTGACAGGCACATGATGAACCTCGAGAAACGTTAGCCCTTCCCAGGGATTTTTACCATTTTTCTATACCATGTCTTCCATATACCAGGCCTTGGCCTAAGCCATTTATCAACTTTTTTTTTTTTTTTTTTTTGGAGACAGAGCCGCAAGCTGTCCCCCTGGGTAGAGTGCTGTGGCATCACAGCTCACAGCAACCTCCAACTCCTGGGCTCAAGCGAGTCTCCTGCCTCAGCCTTCCAAGTAGCTGGGACCACAGGCGCCCACCACAACACCCGGCCATTTTTTGGTTGCAGCCGTCATTGTTGTTTGGCAGGCCTGGGCTGGATTTGAACCTGCCACCTTAGGTGTATGTGGCTGGCGCCTTAGTCACTTGAGCCACAGGCGCCGAGCCAACATTTTCTTTTTGTAATTCATGAAAGAACAATGCAAGGTTAGTAAGTGTTACCCCTTTTTTCTTTTTCTTTTTCTTTTTTTGGGGGGGGCAGTTTTTGGCCAGGGCTGAGTTTGAACCCGCCACCTCCAGCATATGGGGCCTGCGTCCTACCCCTTTGAACCACAGGCACCGCCCTACCCCTTTTTTTCCAAAAGAGGAAACAGATTCATTCCTTTTGGCTGATCCAGTAACTTTGCTGAAGCCTCCCATAACGTGGCTAGTGGCATTGGGGTTGGTGTTCAGGCTCTGACCCCAGGGCCCTTGTTCAGCTTATTACACTACTGTGGGTAGCTTTGAACCTGCCATGAAGTCATTCCACTATATATGCATCATAACAGCAACCTCAGACTCTTGGGCTCAAGATATTCCCTTGCTTCAGCCTCCAGAGTAACTGGGACTACAGGTGCCTGCAACAAGCCTGGCTATTTTTATTTATTTTATTTTTTGAGATAGAATCTCACTATGTTGCCCTCAGTAGAGTGCTGTGATGTCACAGCTCACAGCAACCTCAAACTCTTGGGCTTAAATGATCTTCTTGCCTCAGCCTCCCAAGTAGCTGGGACTATAGGCGCCCCCCACAACACCCGGCTATTTTTGTTGTTGTAGTTGTCATTGTTGTTTAGAAGGCCTGGGCTGGGTACGAACCTGCCAGCCTCGGTATATGTGGCGGGTGCCCTGACCACTGAGCTACAGCACCAAACCAAGGCCAGCTATTTTTAGAGCTGGGAATCTCACTCTAGATCAGGCTGGTCTCCAGCCTGTGAACTCAGGAAATCCACCCTCCTTAGCCTCCCGGAGTTCTAGGATTACAGGCATGAGGCACTGCGCCTGGCCTCCACTATATCTGTATATTATGTTCCGTTTTCCTTAGTACCTAGGACAGTGTCTTAATGATTCCTTTTATTTATTAAACAAATACTTACTGAATACTTTCTGTGTGTCAGACTTTTATTCACTCATTTATTCAACAAGGATTTATTGAGTTCTTATTAGCTGCATATTGTGCCAGACACTGTGTCCTAAGGTGATTTATACTGAGGGAGATCTGGCTTACATAAGTGGATGGTGTTGTTCCTTCTTTTTCTTAAAACTCCATCCCGTCTTTTGCCATAAGGATGAATGAGTTTGCTCTGTGGGGCCCTCTAATAAGCAGCCCCCACAGAGTATCTGAGCAGCAGCATTTGGATTAAAGATCCCGAAGCACTTTGCACTGTCAGCATGGAGTCTCTGTGAGGCCTGCTCTCCCTAGGGAGGCGCCAGACTCCCAGGGAAAAGGAATCATATGCCTGTTACCCTTGTTAATTGCTTTTGCTGGGGACTAGGACAGAACAGAATACTGTATTGTGTTCTAAGCCTGCTAATTTGGAAGCTACTAATCTGCAAATGCTTTAATTCTCACAAAAACCCAGGTAGTCTCACCCTTAGTCCTTTATAAAGATGTAATTAGAGGGGCCTGCAGAGAGGGTGCTGACACATATATTAGGATGCTATGAAGTAGTAACAAATAATTAAACCTCAACAACAGTTGTCATAGTAAGGGAACAAAGTAAATTGGGTAATTTAACTGCCTCGTGGGAGTTCTTTCTGATTTTTTTCTATTTACAGGGGCATATCTCTGTGTGAATTAGCATGGTTTTCTGGTTGGTTCTGATGATTTGGAGGAACAGGAACCCAATTTATTAACAATTTTATTATTGTAGTAGGAAAAAGTTAGAATTTTTTTTTTTTGCAGTTTTTGGCTGGGACGGGGCTTGAACCCACTACCTTCAGTACATGGGGCCGGCTCCCTACTCCTTTGAGCCAAAGGTGCCTCTTTGAAAAGGAAAACCACAATGATAAACTTCAAAACACTTCACATCTTTTTTTTTTCCTGAGGTAGCTACCGTATTTATTGATCAGCCATTGCTCATTTATTTATTTATTTAGACAAAAGTTTTGGTTTGTCACCCTCAATAGAGTGCGGTGGTGTCATAGCTCACAGCAGCCTCAAACTCTTGGGCTCAAGTGACCCTCTTGTATGCCACAACGCCTAGCTATTTTTGGAAACAGGGTCTCACTCTTGCTTAGTTTGGTCTCGAACTCCTGAGCTCAGGCGCTCCACCAGCCACAGCCTCTTGAGTAGCTAGGACTATAGGTGCCCACCATAATGCCCGGCTATTATTTTAGACCCAGCAATTTTTTTTTTTTTTTGCAGTTTTTGGCCGGGGCTGGGTTTGAACCTGCCACCTCCAGCATATGGGGCCTGTGCCCTAATCCCTTGAGCCACAGGCACCTTCCGGACCTGGCTATTTTTTTAGTCTCACTCTTGTTCAGGCTGATTTTGAACTCCTGAGTTCACGCAATTCAACTGTCTCAGCCTCTCAGAGTGCTAGGATTACAGGAGTGTGCCACTGTGCCCAGCCACCAAGAAATAATTTTTAAAAGTTAAAGCTTTTAGATTTTATTTATTTATTTATTATTGAGACAGTATCTCACTTTGAGAGTACCGTGGCAGAATACTGTGGTACTTGGTAGAGTACCGTGGCATCATAGCTCACAGCAACCTCGAACTCTTGAGCTCAAGCAATTCTCTTGCCTCAGCCTCCCTAGTAGCCGGAACTACAGGAGCCCGCCACAATGCCCGGCTATTTTTTTCAGCTATTTTTTTTCTGTTTAGCAGGGGTCTGGGTTTGAACCCACCAGCCTTGAAGCATGTGGCCAACGCCCTAACGACTGAGCTACGGGCTCCCAGCCTAGATTTTTTTTTAGAGGAAACCCAGCCTGAAGGGTAGAACTATTTTTTGTAGTTTATACAAGTGTTACTTACTTTGTAAAACAATGCTTTGAGTTTTTTGTTTTTTTTTTTTTAGACAGAGCCTCAAGCTGTCCCCCTGGGCAGAGTGCTGTGGCATTACAGCTCATAGCAACCTCCAACTCCTGGGCTCAAGCGAGTCTCCTGCCTCTGCCTCCCAAGTATCTGGGACCACAGGCACCCGCCACAACGCCCGGCTATTTTTTTTTGGTTGCAACTGTCATTGTTGTTTGGCGGGTCCGGGCTGGGGATTCGAACCCGCCACCTTAGGTGTACGTGGCTGGCGCCTTAGCCAGTTGAGCTATAGGCGCCGAGCCAACCCTTTGCGATATTGCTGTCCATGATTAATAGGGAACAACCTGTGTGGTTTGGCACCGACTCTGAAGTTAGTCCCTAGATTAGAATCAGTTAAGTGTCAACAGTATACGAAAGCTTAGACGTAATCTTCAAGAGCAGTGATTTTCAACTGGTGTGCCATGAAAAATGTTAAAGATCATTAATTATTTTCAAAAGAAGTTCAAAGCACATGTATGCATACTCTTTTTTTGAATCATCATTTAAGTGTGCCACAGAAGTTTATAGGTTCAAGTGTGCCGGGATATTAAAAAAGTTTGAAAAACACTATTCTAGAACAACACCGTCTTGTAGAATTTTCAGTCATGGAAATGGGGCTGGTATGACTGAGACACTGTATTTTTCTTTTTCTTTTTTCTTCTTTTGAGCCAGTCTTGCACTGTCACCCAGACAAGAGTGTAGTGGTGTTGTCATAGCTCACTGAAACCTCAAACTCCTGGGCTCAAGCAATCCTCCTGCCTCAGCCTTCCCAGGAGTTGGAACTAAGGAATGCTCCGCTGTGCCCAGCTACTTTTTTCTGTTTTTACTAGATATAGGGTCTCACTCTTGTTCAGGGTGGTCTCAAACTCCTGAGCTCAACCAATCCTTCCCCTGCTTCCCAGAGTGCTAGGTTATAAGTGTGAGAAGAACCAAGCCCAGCCTTCTATTTTTAATTTAATTAAATTTTAAGTAATTGCCATTTAAATAGCCATCTGTGGCTAGTGGCT